ATATGTTAATAGGTGCTTAATATATACTTGTATAAAATACATTTACTGGCAACAGGGCTGATTTTCTATAGCTTGGCAGATTGTTTTTTATGGTTGGTCTATTATATCTTTAACAAAATTAAGCTAAAAAATGAACAATACCCTCTCCGCCATCTGTAGTTTCACAGCATAGCTAATTGAATGCACTTGACTGTCTGGGTGACTTGTTGGAAGTTGGCATTATGAAGTGACAAGACTTGGGCTATAGAGCCAGAAAGACCTGGCCAAACACCAGTTAAGCCACTTACTGGCTGGGTAAGACTGGGCCAGTTACTCAGCCTTTCTGAGCCTGTTTCCACATCTGAAGAAACAAACCTAATGTGGCCTAATTCCTGGAGTTGTTATAGGATTACAAGTGGTAACAGAGCTTCCTCTTTTCTCTGTGCCCATCACTTCCCTTCAATACAGAAACATGCTCAAATCCTCTGTCTTCTCTCCTTAGGCTACTGCTTCATCAATGCCCTCTCCCCAGTCCATGTTTTATTAGTCTTTGGATCTCGTGTCCATATTCTGGTTATTGGGAATCTTGCTAGAAGGCCTTCCTCTCCACGCTTTTCTTTATAAAGTTGAATTCACTCTCTGGTGGATGCAGCCTGGAGCTCGATGGTGCCCGTGACAAATTACAGACCCGTCAAGTTTTCAGTTGGCATCATATTTGCCAGACAAATGTAGACAGCGCTTTCATGCAGCGAAGCACTTTGTGAGCTCTTTGAGCCTCTGAGGGACAATTTGAGTTGGAAAAAAAAGGCATTGCAACCTTGTAGAATACTCACCCCATTACACAAGGAAAACCAAATAAGTTTATCTGACAAAAAGGTATGGGAATTCTCTTGATAAAAGAGCCCAAGCCACGGGGCGCTCTCTCTACTCGACAGAGAGACAAGATGCGTGAAAGTTAAGTCTCTTGTTTATTTTTTTTAGTTAAGTTTAACTATTATAGTTTAAATGCATTCTCTGTGTCAGGCATGTTACCCCTTTAGATGAATTTAGAGCTATTAAGATTATAAAATAAAAATGCTTAGGTACAGGCAGCTTTTACTAAGATCTGATTAAAGAATGGGATATTTTGCTGAGAGTTTGAAAATTTATTGGTACTGTATGTGCAATCCGGCAAAATTAAATTTCTAATGCATGAAATGGTTGTCTGGAGTCTGGTGCTGTAAAAGATTCAAATCAGTTCCATTCAAACCTGTATTCTTAGTGCTCTTGATATGTGCTGAATAAAATACATAAGGGCGTGGTCCCTGCCCTCCGGGCCTTGCTGTCAGGCTCAGTGTTCCTTAACTTTTTGACCAATGTCCTTCTTTTCTAAATATAAATATCTCAGGCCCTCCTTACACACTATTTGAAGCTTAAAATAAGGTAAAGTTGAAGACAGACTAGATAAAGACTTGCTTTATTTTCAAGTTACATATAACCTATAAATTTGTATATGTCTCTCTCTGAGGCATATTGACCTAAATGTTGATCTCACCACACCTCTGTAACACAAGTGTCATTTACCGTTAAGCGACACATGTTTGGTAGGGACCGGAGGTTGCAAATTAGTAGTTCCATGGGTCCAATGCAGATCACAGAGTTGTTGTCATCTAAACTTTCTTTACTGAGCCAACATTTCAAATTGGGGTATTTAACATAAAGTGCAAAGTTTTGACTTCTCTTAAAACACTGCAAGGTCTGGTTGCAGTGGGCCCGCATTCCCACATGGCAACAATGAGATGGGACAGAGTGGCTGCTGCCCCCTTCAGATGGGGCCTGCATTCTCCAGTTGCCATGTCCCCACTGCTAAGTAGTGAAAGCGTATGTCTGAAATTTGGCTTGCACTCTTCAAATAACCCTTCCTGGCTCATGGAAAACTTGAGTTTTTGAGCTCTGGTAGAGTCCAGAGAGGGAAGAGGGAAGGATTTTCATCTATAGAGTAGATGGACTTGGAGATAGTGGCAGGATTTATATAGTTGAAATGTGTGTGTGTGGTGGCGGGGGGTGGTAGGTCATTCCAGGCAGGAGACTAACTTTGATGCTGAATCCCACTAGAGGGTGGTGATGGTTTGTGAGATAGATCCTCAGTAGTTTTTCTCTAATAATGTTTAAATTGTTTAAGGATGCAGATGACTTATTTTTTTCTTCTAAAAAAGAGCAGATTTAAGGTTAAGATTCTTACTCCCTTGCAACCTTGCAATCTGATATGCTTTCTTGTGAGGGAGGAAAAAGAGGAGAAGGTATAGATAGTAAGAGCTAGGAATTGGGCGTAAGTAAGGTTGCAGCAATGGGCGACTGTTAGGTTTATGAATTCTTTAATTAAAATTGTGTGTGTCTGGTGTATGTATGTGTATGTGTGTATATGTGGGTGTGTGTGGGTGGGTGTATGTGTGGTGTGTGTGGGGTGCATGTGGTGTGTGTATGTGTGTGTTGAAGGGATGGATGCTCAGAACAACTGTGCCATTGTAGCAAGCGTTCAGATTTGTGAAAGAAATAAGGCTGAGAAGAAATGCCATTCATTGTATATCTCCCAAAGGATGGTAAAAGTGTCTTCTCACAGTAGTTGAGCCAGTGCTTTACAAAGGCTCCTGGGCCTATTAAAAGAGCAGGATGTGGTGAGTTTGACAGGACACCTTCAAGGGTAGGTGTTTTGTCATCAACGATGCTCAGCATCCTGCAGTATTTTCCTACAGAATCTCCTTATACGTGGGATTCCCCTTGTTAACATCACGCTTAAGATGATGTCTCCAAAAAGCCACTTTTGGAGTAAAGTTGCATTTATGAGTAGTAACACCTCCATATTTGAGAACTTGTTTTTATTTTGGGGGGTAACCAGCCTTTGCCCATCAGGCAGATGGCTGGGGAAGGGGTAGAGTGGGTAAGGTTTGTTTGCCTTTGTTTTGATGTTCTTGAGGAGCTTCAAACGGAGCAGTTTTATTTTCCCAACAAGGCCGGATTCCTTGTATAGTTGATGTTTCCTTGGTCTGCAGAAGGCTCACCATCAGGATTGATTTGTGTTAAATTGAAAACAGATCTCCTTCCAAAGGCCCTTTTATTGATCCTGACCTTTTCCTTTTGCTGGTGAAGGCTTGTTGAGTTGCCTTTTAAACAACCAGGAATCACTGTGTTGCTTTTTCTTGTAATCTTTTATTTATTCTGTTCAGAGGCCTTAAATGCTTACAAATAAATTTCCTACGGAAATCATAAAACAGCCCTACTCAGCCGAGAGTTGAGAATATGGACTGCTCTTAGCAGATCCCACACGTGGCTTGTGAGGAACAGGTCAACACCTCATTTCTGGGCCCTGCCCTCCCTAACTGGTCCTTCCTCTATTGTTTCCATCTGTATCTTGAGTTCCCACAAGAAGTACTTTGGACTTTATTTCATCTAGTAGTGCCCTGAGAAAACTTTAAGCACTGAATTGGGATTGTATTAGCTGGAAGAATCAAGAAATTAATTTCCTTCAAGAGAAGAATGGCATGTCTAGCCAAACAGAATATTGCTTAATGTAATAGGACTCCCAAATGAAATTGGGGAGCGGATCTTTCTCTTACCTGGGGGATGTGAGATCATTGAATTTCAGATTCTTGTATAAATTAACATTCGAACGAGTGGATCTGCCCCTCACTCTGCCAGCCATTACTCTCCCTTTTCCTGTGTTTTCTGCATGGGAGTGTTTCTGTCACCCACCAGAGGGCCGCACGTCTTTAGTCAGCTGTAAGTCAGGGGATAAAATAATTAATGGATCGGAACTTAATCCATAACTCCCTAACTCTGCAGCTTTATTTTTTTTAATAGTTCATAAACTTCTTATTTTCCTTTTTAGCCTAGATTTCCTCTGTGGTGAAGGAGAGATTTGCCAGCCTTTGGCCCTGCCTCATAAAAAAGCTTTAAAGGACGATGCTAGGCTGTGTGACTGCCTGTAATTCACCCTCATCTAATATTCCAGAACTGTCCCAGAATCTGTGTCTGAATTTGTTCTAATATAAAGGACCCCGGGGTCAACAACACAACTACTTTCAGATGAATTAAGTTGTGCATTCTTAAAGACCTAGGAGGCCAATGCATATTGCATCTCTTAGAGCTGTCACAAGTAATATTATTGGGACCGTGACAGACACCTAATGGGATACACGGAGATCTCTATTTTGAAATTTCTAAAATGTCATAGTAGAGTTTGTTATTTTTCAGAATAACTAATTAAGTGTCTGTCTTTCTGAATTAAACTCTCTGTGCGCTCTGTTTTGCCCTCCTCTGGATGACAGAATGGGCAGATAAATCAGCAACTGATTTCTCAGAGAGTTAAGTTTTGAGAAACATATTTTATAGGTCACCTGTGCCTTAACAAAGCTTTCTAACAGCAAAAAGGCACAAATGGGATGTTGAAACAGCAGTATTTGCTATCAGGAGGTGAAATCTCTGAGAATGGAATTTATCTAGAACCGTAGTTTGAATAGTTTGCAAGGTCCAAGGCAAAAAATTAGCCACTGTTGAGAAGCTGGGGTGAAAGTCTCACTGTCACCATGAAGGTGTCCTGTTCAATCAGAGAGGGGCTGGCCAGCACCTGTTGAACCCCTGCTCCGTCTGGTTTCCACTCTATCCACAGCCTCCCACTAGGGGCACAAAAGCCTCAGTTTAGGGTACTTGCTATGAGAAATGCAGTGCATGGTGGATTTCCTTCTTTCCAGGATTTCATATTTATCTATTGGAAGGAAATAAAAGTACAAAATCAAAGCAGGTTGTATAATTTCTTCCTGAAGTGTACTCTTTCCTTTTGAAGGAGAAGATTCGTTACTTAATGTATTTTTTTCCCCAAAGTGGAAAAGCCTTTTTTTCCTCGATTATTATTGTGTGCCTTTGAGATAAACTAAAGAAGACAGTAAGCCTCACTTGAAATTTGAATACTCAGAGATATTTAAATTTTGTAAATTTCTTTCCAAATTTCTCAGTGTGCATGGTTATAGAAATATACAAAATTTTATATAATGTGTATAATATTACACATACAGCTTTGTAACCTATATATATTTTTTTACCTAATATCATCTTTCTATGTGGATAAATATGCATCTACATCACCATTTTAAAAGAATGCATAGTATTCCATTTTATAGGTATACCATATTTAGTTAGCTAATCTCCTGTTGATAAGATTGTTTCTGATTTTTCAATATTACAAAGAACAATAGAACAAAGATCCTCATACATACATCTTTATGGACTTGACAGGTTGCTTCCTTGAGATACAATCCTACGAATAAAATTGTTATGGAAAACATAACAAAAAATTTTATGAAAGCTGCTGCCCTGCCTTTCAGAAAGGTACTAATTTCTATGAGAGTCTTCAATTCCTTGTAACATCTCCAACACTGGATAGTGTAAATTTTCTTAATCTCTGTCAACTTGAAAGATACAGAGAAATGGTTCATCATGATTTTTGTTTGAATTTCTTTGCTTAATAATGAGCTTGAACATTTTCCCATCATTGGCCATTTCTATTTCTCCTTTTTGAATTACCTATTCATATCTTGGCCCATTTTTCTGTTGGGCTTTTGCCTTTTTTTTTGTTGCTTGCAATGGCTTTCTGTAAATTCTGGATATATACAATTCTTATGCAGCATATGGACTGGAGCTTGTCAAGAAAATATTGGGGAAGAATGCAGCATTAAAGTAAAACAAGAGTTTACTACTGTGTAACCCCAAGTAGCCATCTAACCTTTCTGTCCCTCAGTTTTCTCCTGTATAAAATTAGGAAGTAGTCATTCATTCATCAGATTTTTTTCACTTGAAGTAAAGCCAATAATTATTAAAATGAAGCATTTCACTATGTAACTTCCACAGTGAACACTTTGGTGTCCTCTGTTGTTTTAATTACCCTCTATGCACCCAGTTGATAAAGGAGAGATTTCTACCCTAGGGTTATGGGGATGGCCAAACACACAACACTGACACTGGATAGATGAGATAGACAGCAGTTTGTGAATCACATAGGCTCATAGCCCAGGGGAGGAGGGTGCTGCACACCATACAAGGCCACAATAGGGGTGCACTTGGGAACAGAGTGAACAACCAGGAGCTGTGGGAGGTGGGCTTTGTAGTATCAAGAGGGTGGGGTGACTTCTGGTTCTTGCAGGAAGATGTTATTGGCTTGTTTGGATAATTCCAAGGGCCGTTAGGAAACTGAAACCCATTACTGAGTGATAAACAGGAATGGTGCCTGGTTCCCATGATAAGGGAGAGTTGTTTGGCTAGGGGACTTTATCCCTAGGAGCAGAGAGGGAAGAAGAACTTGCAGTTAGGCCTTTGGACGCCATACTGATTTTCCCCAGATGTCAAGGCAGCACAAAATATTGGGGTTTAATTTTAGTCCTTATACTACAACTATCTCCGAGAAGTGAGTTCCCAAATTCAGTGGCCTCTTCTCCAGTCATTATTGTCCTTGACTGAGTTCATCCTGTCCACTCCTGTAATTTCTTCCCTTCCAATGGCCTCCATACCACAGCCCTGTCCAGGGAGGCAGGGTGGCATGAGTGAGATTCTCCCTAAATCAGACAAACATAGCTTTGATTCCACCTCTGTCACTTACTAGTTATATGGCCTTGGACAAGGTACGTTACTTCTCAGCCTCAGTTTTTATAAAATGGAGATAGTATCACTCTTATAGAATAACATAAAAAAGTTTCTGGCAATAGTGTCTGGGTCGTATTGGGCATTTAAGATCTTAATTATTTAGTATTTTTTACTTGTTAATCTTCATATTCCTACCATCTTAATGTGAGCATTAACTAAGATTTGTTGCATACCTTCCAACTCTCTTTTTCTATTTCTTAGCCCTTGAAGATATATCCACATTTTCCATGGCTTCTCTTTGCACCTTAACGCAAACGGCTCTAATGTTGCATTTCTTGCACTGATCACTCTCTGATTCTCCAACTTTTTCTTAGACATTTTCCCTATAGTGTCTTATTCAGCATGCTTAAGAGATTTCTCCTCAAATGGGTACCTTCTATGTTACTTCTTCTTCTTCTGGCTGGCTTCCTCATTAGTGTCCATGTTATTTTGGCTTAATATTCTTAAGTCTCTTTTAGTTTCTTTCTCTTTCAAAGCCATACTAACTCAGCTGTGAAAAGCCGTTGGTTTCTTCCTTCACAGTATGAATTACATCCATCCTTTCCACTCCATTCCCAGAAATCAGAGCCTTTAGAGTTAGAGAGTTGCATTAGGCTCTGAGTTGGTTTGCTTTTGCTTTGACAAACTCCCCTCTTGTTTCCCAGTTCAGCCTATGTCCTACTGCTTGATGAATCTTTCAAATGCTCATCTTTGATCATGTTTCCTCTATTCTAAAACTACCAATGGCTCCTTGATTTCCCTGATACAGATTCCTTAGCCTGGCTTGCAGGGTCCCTGACAGTCTAGTTACTCTCCTGTCATTGTCTCCCCAGCATTCCTACATTGCATCAACTTAATCTTTTTTGTTTTGGTCCCCAGGACATGCGTTGCCCCAAAATGCCTTTGAGCATTTGTCTGTGTTTTCTCTCTGTCTAGGATACCCACCTTCCCATTCTCAGTGTTTTCAAATCTTGTATTCAAAATTAAAATCCTAGCTTTGCTGGTTACCAGTTATGTGACTTTGAAAAATCACTTAACCCTCTCTGAACCTTGGGTTCCTCATTTGTTAATGGGGATAATATTGTCATGTTACAGGGGTATTTATGAAAGCAACTAACATAGTGTTTATGTCATAACACTTATGAAATTGTCATTGCTGCTGCCGCTCCTATCACCCCAGCCAAAAGTAATCTTTGCTTTCCCTGACTACCTACCTTGTTATGCATAAGGCACTTGTTTTATAATGCCTTGTGCTGTGTTATATTAAAAAAGGCTATATCTTCACTAACTACACTGAAAGTTCCTGGAAGTTGGGCATCAAGTATTTTATATCTTTATTCATTCAGCAAAGATTTATTGGATGTTTTGTATGTGTCATGTGGTGCGCTAGGGGCTGGGGATACAAGAATGACAAAGACTTAGTCTCTCCCATCAAAACTCTTGCACACCATCTAATAATGGAATGCTACCTAGATTTAGTTGAAATAAGCCCAGTGAGTGCCCAGAGTAGGGGCACCTGACTGAGCTCAGCATTCTAGATGGTGTTCTAAGGAAGTAACACTAACCTGAGATGCAAAGAGTGGTGGGAATTAACAGGTGAAGGTGGGGAGGCACAGTGCTGTAGGACGAGTGAGGAAGAGCGTTCAGTGCGGAAAGCAACATGTTCATGTACACAGAGGGGAAGCGGGACGTGGTCTTTGTGAACTGCGAGAACAAAATGGCTGTGATCTTGGTTTTGAAGAAGAACTAGTGGGAGACAAAACCAGGAGGGTAAGCCAAGGCTAGATCCTGTAGGGTTTTCAATTCTTTCTACCATTACTGGTGCCTAGTAGAGTGCCTACATCTGGTGGGTTCAACAGATGTGTTTCTAGCCTTTATAAAGAGTGGCTGCACATGATTTAGTCTTGGAGCATTTACAGTCAAAGAAACTCAGTTCAGCAAGAGAACAAAGTTTCAAAGTTGCTGAAATCTTTTGCTTCTATTTCTTAGAAACTGTGAAGGAGAGCCGTATATCTAATCCAGGCCACATTTATAAACAAACAATCAAACAGCTCTTCTGCTCCTACCCACTTCCATACCTGTCACCACACTGATGCCTCCTTCTTATGCCTCAAAAGTAAAACCAAAAGAGAAAGTGTTCTCTCTCCTCCACCAGCTGACACTCTGTTGTCCCTCCTCTTCCTCTTCTCACATTCCCTCAGTATTTTCTTGAGCAGCCAGACTCACCCTCTCCCTAACCTCTGTCTCCGACTCTCTCCCTCTCTCCATTCTCACAAAAATCCAAGAAACTGACAGAAACTGAGCTCTCCTCAGGTGACTGCAGGTTAATAAGGATTGTCCAGACACGTATAAGGACTGAATGAAACATTCTGTGGAAGAACCAGAGGCCATAGCTGTCAATCCTGAAGCCCTGGGTGCGGTGAGTTGGGTTTACCTCAGAAACTCATCCTTTCATGTTCAAAAGAAATTTGTCCATTCAGGATTCTGTTTCCCGCCTGCCCCCACTTCCATTATTTCTCCCAAACCTTGAATCATAGACTTCTGGAAAGCATTGTGAATAATTTATATCCTTTTATTACTCATTGCTTAACTCCCTTTGGGGGAAATAAAGAGAAACAGTTTTTTTGCTGCTTACTCTCCCGTGGACTGAGGCCATGTCAGCTTCAGGCAATAGCGAAGATTTATGACCACAAGAGCTGTCATTGTGGAATGGTTGATTGACCCATAGTTTTGATTAACCAAAATATTTTTTAAAATTCAGGAGCAGTGCTAATAACATCAGAATGGAAATTCGACATTTCACCACTTTCCATTAAAACCTGCTTGTTATCATCTTTATTTTCAATGCTCGATGGTGAGCATTTTCTTCCTTGCCTATTGAATTGGTTTTCTTGTGGAGTCTTTCTCAGAATCTGTAAATTCGAATACAGAGCTGTGGTGACTAAGAGCACATAGTGGTGACCTGCTGCTGGGGATGAGGGTATATGGATGTGCTCAGGTCCTGTTTGGTTTGGTCTTTCTAAATGTCTTTACTCAGCTTCACAGAGCCAGGAATTATATAGTTAGTACATGTCTTGGGCCACTGAGATGCCTCTGGCACATTGGATTGGTCCCACAGCAAATATTGTTAGAATGTGTCACCTTCACTCCATCACCTCTAGCACCGTGCCATCCAAGTCCAGATTACCCTCCTTCCTAGACTGCTGTCATCTAGGAGGTCTGGACTAACTGGCCCATCTGGACCCACTCTGCCTCCCCTCTACCCAAATCTATTATTTTCAAAGTATAAATATGATGGTATCAACTACTACCACTGCAGTCTGCTTGAAAAACCTTGAAATGGCTTCCCATTGCTCCAAATCCTTGAAGTGGCTCATAAAGCTTTGGTCCTGTTAACCTAAAAAAATAAAACAGTCAGTTATTTTACTAGCAAATGAGTTTATTTGGGAACAGCAAAGCATTGCAACTTGGGGCAATTAAGCTATAGCAAAAGCCATAGGCAAGTCCAACAATCAAAAGAGAGGAACGTTATTTTATAGGGAAAAAGGAGGAACTTGGGAGGGGTTGTTTTGAATGAAAGTCCATCCGAGAAGAGCAAGAGTTCAGGGTGGTGATGGTTTTTAATTTGCTGAGTTGCTGGGGTAGTCGATTTCTATTTGGGATGCAATGTACATTTCTTCTTGGGGTCTGTAATTGAGGATTCTTGCTGTTAAGAACTTTTCTTCTGCTGGGGTCTGTAATTGACAATCATTCCTGTAACTGACCTTGAATGGTACTGCGTGAGAGCTCCCCCTTCTGGCCTCCTGACTCCATTTTAAATGAAGTTTCCCTTTATTAGTTTTTGCAGTCCCCACTAACACTCTTCTTTATCACTCTGTCCCTTGGATTCTCCACTCCAGTCACACTGGCCTTTATTTAGTCCCTATATTCGCTCTACTCAGTCTAACTACAGGCCTTTGCACATCTGGTACCCACAGCCTAGAAATGTCAGCTCAAGTGTTACTTGTTCTGAGATAATTTATTTGCCTCTACACCCCCTAACTAGACTACTTCTTTGTTATAGATCCTCCTGGTACCAAATATCTCTCCTTAGATGCTTTTTAGAGGATCGTTTTTTTGTTTTTTGGATGTTTTTATTTTTGCTGAGGACGATAAGCCCTGAGCTAACATCTGTTCCAGTCTTCCACCACTTTATATGTGGGTTGCTGCCACAGCATGGCTAATGAGTGGTATAGGTCCATGCCCAGGATCTGAACCTGTAAACCTGGGCTGCCAAAGCAGAGTGCGCCAAACTTAACCACTATGTCACGGGGCTGGCCCCTGAGAGTCAGTTTTATACTGGTGAGCTCTTTTCATTAATATCTGCCTCCGCTTGGATTCCTTGAGGGCAGAGCCTATCTTTGTTTCGACTCACCTTGGCATCTCCAGGACCTAGCACAGTGCCTGGCTCTTAGAAGATGTCCAATAACTATGTGTTACATGAATGGATGAATAAATGAATTTGAGTATAAGTGTAATTAGAAAATGGGCCTTACTTGTCTTCAAGGGATTTATGTAATTGACAAGAAATCCAGATGAATCTCTGTTGGAACAGCCAAGAGTGAAAATGTACTCAGATGAAGGAAGGCTAGAAGCAGCCTGTAACAGCAGCTACACCCATTTTGTTCTGTTTAAAATGAGGGACACTACTGATGATAGTTTTAACTGGATGGACGAAGAGTCTCTTTCATAAGGGCTACTGGAAGGTTGTTCCACTCTGTTAGGGTTCGCAACTATGGAGTATATATTTTTCTCTCCTGTTTCCCTGTTTTTAAGGGACTTACCATACATTCCCTATTAGAAGGAAATTGTGGATACTTATTAGCAAGTTGTGTACGAATGAGTTTTGGTTCTTTCCCTGATCCATCCCAATTAGCTTCCCGACGTCTCATTGTATCTGCCTAGGAAACATGAAATATCTCACTTCAGAGGACGGGTGCAATTCTTGGGCACATATGGTTTTTTCTGAACATTACCTTCTATTTGCAAGGGAGAGAAGTAAGCAGTTTAAACAAGGAAAATGTGTGTTTTGGGTCTGTAGGCTGCCAGGGAAGGCAAGCAAGGAGAATAATGCTAGGCATTGAAATAGTAGCTTTCCTGCTTTCAGGTCCGAACATCTGTCTGTGTCTCAGGGCAGATTTGGTTTAAGACCAAAACAAATAGCTCCCCTTCCTTGGGTTCTGACCCCTCGGGTGTAGAAAAGGGACTAAGCGAGTCCAACTGTAACTTGCTAGGGAAGTCCTTGTTCTCTCCAACCTTCTGGGAGCCCCAAATAATTAGCTGTGCAAAGAGCAAGTTGGAATCAGAATTCCCCTCTAGGGTTTTCTGGGTCCAGCCAAACAAGGCGAGCTGAGCTGAGAGACAAATAAACCCTGTGAAAGAGAGTGAGTGCCAAGTCTCCTTTCTCCCTCCTCGCTTCAGTTCTGGTCCCCTAGATCTGCGTCCTCAGCTTCCTTGTCTCTTGTAATTCCCCCAGGTCCCTCATCATGTATAGCCAGGGGGAATTTCATCTTAATTAGAGAAGCCAGTGGGCCAGTCTCCGGTGGAAGGCTGGCGCTGTGTTTTAGGACTTGTAAGGGCTTGGGAGGAGGAGGTTGGCCTGTGGAGAGAGATCTCACTTCCTTCCAGATTTTCTGATGTTTTCAAAAAGAAGCCAGAAATCTGGACTTTTGTGTGAAGTCACCCAATTTTAAAATGTTTGCTACATGTTTTATTTTGTTTACAAACAATGTCCAGGCCAAATAAAACACATGCTTCTGGTACCTCTAGGTTAGCCCATCAGCTTCATAAAGGTGCAGATTGTGTCCATCCTGCTTGCATCTGTATCCCCAGGACTTAGCAAAGTCCTTGCCACCTAGTAGAAGCTTACTATCTCTTGATTGATATCCATAGGAGACTCATTCTTGGTGATATTCCCTTGATGTTAATAACAATAATAAAATACAACAATTACAGTACCATTTTTTATTAAGCACATATTAAGTGCTTTCTATAAAATTTAATCTGCACCATGACCTTAGAAGCTGCTTATTTTTATTATTCCCATCTTGCAACTAGACACAGAAGCTCAAAGCCTAAAAATGATGACCTAAGCCAGTTGTTCAGCTAATGAGTGGATGCTGATTCTGGCTGTACTGCCTCCCAAGCTAGTACAGTTATCCCTCAGTATCCATGGGGGATTGGTTCCAGGACCCCCACGAATCCCAAAACCCATGGATGCTTAAGTCCCTATTGTAGTGTTTGCACATAACCAGGAGGATGCATATCTTCCTGTATACTGTAAATCATCTCTAGATTACTTATAATTCCTAATACACTGTAAATGCTATGTAAATAGTTGTTATACTGTATTGTTTAGGGAATAATGACAAGAAAAAACGTCTGTACATGTTCAGTATAGACGCAACCATCATAGGCCTTTTGATCTGCGATTGATTGAATCCGCAGATGCGGAACCTGCGGATGCAGAGGGCTGACTTTATTTGTAATCCTAATGCTACAGTGCCTCAAACTCTGCTCTGCTGTCACTGGCCTCACTGGCCACAGGGAGCCAAGGTGAATCCTGCAAGAATTAGCCCTTCTAAAGGGGAATCAACAAGCCTGGCGTATTGTTTGTCTCCCATGTACACTCCCTGGTGTATGTATCTCTCTCCAGGACAGACATTTGAAAGGGTGGACATGATGGGTGGGCATTCTTCTTTTACTTCTGCACAGCATTTATTCTCTCCTCTAGCCAGAGCTGTGGAACTGTTCCTGCTTTCCTACCGCCATCTCTTTATGGGGAATTACTCTGCAGGGAACTTTGATAAGTTGTGCCGGTCATGGTATCCTACTGTGTGATATACTTAAGTGATACGAAACAGTCTATATTTGGGCATTTTTCTAGGACTCGGGCACTCTGAGCTGAGGTTCACAGAGTCATTGTTTGGCTTCCTTAACTGAAAGCAAGAGTGGTGACTCATCATCGGCTTGAGATACAATTAAACCCATGACTCCTAAAAGCAAGACCCTCTATTATGGCCTGCTTGTCATCAAACATGTTTTTCTTGTGCTGCAAATATTTTATTACAGGTACTGAAGCATTAAAGCAGTAGTCTATGAGAGACGCAAAACCGGGGCTAATTTTACAAAGTGGGATAGCTCTCTCTAATTGCTACCATTTGATGGACTTACGTATGTTAGTGGTTTCAGCTACTGGGGGATCCTTTTAATCAGGAGAAAAGGGCAATGGGAGTGAAGAATATAGGCCTTCAGAAAAACCAGATTACATCCTTATGCCCTGCTTCCAACATGGGCTGCTTCTCAGTGTAAGAGGTATCCTACCCTTGATTTTTTTCAGCATATCGTCCTGGTTTGAAACCATCTTACTCTTTGGTAGAT